AGGGTCGCTCTGCATGCAGCTCTAAGGCCAGGGGGTTGGCCAGGTTTGATGCTTTAGCTTCACCAGCTTGATGATAGACTCGATCCAAACTCAGCCCGTTGGTGCCAGTGAGTCCATGATGGCTATAATGCTCTCGTGTAACACAGTGGCACTGCTCCACTGGATTTTCTTGGCTGTTGCCTTTACAGGAGCGGATTGCCAGACCTTGCTCCCGTGGTGCTGCTGAATATGTTCAAACTAACCATCTTTAGAGAAGTAGCCAAACACATCCATTTAGTCCCCGCTTTTCCTCCCAACTTATAGTAGGATGAGTCCTAGTGTAAGGCACTTCCTGCTTGCTTATTTGGTTGGCTTGCGTGGTTTATTAACACTGGAAGTTTCTCTGCTGTGGATGGGACCTGAGGCAGGTTCAACCGTATTACAGGAATATGTTTTCAGACACAGCCCAAGAAGACACCCGGAGCCCGGTCTCGCCTTCTGGCTGGAGCGATAGGAGGCTCCCGGTGTCGGGCAGGACCCCACATTGCGGTGCAGGCTCTGCTTCCGCCATGCCCTCGATGATGTCACTGTCCGATGGCCCTCAGGTCCGAGCTCCATTATCCTGAGCTGGGGGAGCGTTAGCTTTCTCGGACTTGCAAAACAGCTTTGTGCTGTCCATTCTCCCACTGATTAAACATAAGCAATGGAACCTCGAACCAGCAGTCCTGATGACCATGTAGATGTTAAGTAATCGAATAAATTGTACCTTGGGGACAAGATCCACATTCAAACACATCCCAGCCCAGGACAGTGCCTGGCTCAGGAAGGGTGCTCCATGAAGGCTTGTTGACACCAAAAATAAAGCACTTCCACAATCGAGTCTCTTTTCCACACCAACCAAAAGAAATAACCAACAAAAGAAGACAAAGAAGCAGGATACTAGAACAGTTGAGTTTTTCCTGCTCAGATTGTGGAATTGAGGATAAATGGAAGGGGACAATCTCTTTTGAGATAAAGTTCAGTTAAAATGCTAACTCGAAAGTTCAACCAGCACTTGCCCAACCTAACATGATCTGGGACTTCAGTCCCCAGTAGCCAAGCCCCTTGCTTGCCCAGTCCACCTAAGTCCACTGTCAAGGTAACAGGGAATGAACGTCTGTAAGCAGAGGTCAGATGGCAACACTCAGCGAGATGTCCAGTCTCAATGGTGTTGCCAAACACAAACAGTACTTTCTAGGCAAGCAGACAACGAGGCAGGGTTGTGCAGTAAATGGCCCGCTTATCTCTGCTTCATAAAACATGCAGACTTCTCCACTGCCGACCCACAGCCACCCTACAGGGCAGAGTAAACGGCTCCACAGGGTTTCTGGGGCTATAAATCTCCACAGAACCAGACTGCCTCATCTTTCTCCTGAGGAGTGGCCAGTGGGTTTAAATCACTGACGTTTTTTGGTTTAGCAGCCCAATGCTTGACACACCGTGCCACCAGGGTTCCCACACACAGAAGAGCCTTGCCCAAACTTCAGAACCCATTTCCTTATCAATTGTGGCTCCTCGGATGGCCTGTCAATGTTACATCTGTCCAGAGCCGGCTCCCTGTGAACAAGAGGACATTGTCCGACTGCCCTGCATCACATCGAGCAAGTCCACTGTCATCCTTGAACACGGGCACAAGCCTAAGGGTCTCATTTATCTTGTCTCCAGACGTTTGGCCGGCCACACATCAGATTTTGTCTTCCAATCTCCTGTCACGCAGGTGCCTCCACTCCCCAAAGACAGGCCTGCAAGGGGCAAGAACGCTTCCTTCCGAAGGCTCTCCTGCAATTCTCAGTCGGGTTCCGCCGCGAACCAGGCTCAACTTTCCCCCAGTGAGTCTCCGCCGCCACGGCTGCATTTCATCACCCAGCTGGTGGAGGTTGTGAAACAGGCAGTGGGACACAGGAGGACGGAGGGAGCGCGAGAGCTGAGCACCCTGGCACCCCGGGCCCCGCCCCGGAGCCATCATTTGTTTGCTCATTGCATGGCCTAGGATACCCACACAAATGTTTAGGCCTGTAGATTTTCTCATCGAGGGAATACGCTTACCACCTGCTTCGTGAAATACTGTACTGAATCTAAAGAACCTGGCGCGGGATAATTGCTCGCTCTCGCTATCATCTCTTTATGCAATATGTTATTATATAGAATTTATATTGGGATTTTTTTCAAGCTTATAATAAGTTCTCTTTGATTTAATGAGCCTGTCATGACACAACAAAACATAAAGAAATAATAATAACAGTCCCACCTGAATATCTATACACATATATGGATTGGAAGGGAAAGGGGCAGCTGAAAGCCAAAAAAATTAAAGCACAGAATTTATCAAGGTGTTAGTTTTTCCCCTAGATGCCCTCTGTGAACAGTCACTAACTACTCCCCACCTAGAGCCAGCAGTGTTGTCAGCACTCTGCTGTGCTTATCTGGGCTCCAGGACTGGTATCTTTCTGCACGTTTCACATGGCCAAGACTCCCTGGGGCAGAAACAGCCTTAAAGCTTCAGGAAGACCACTGTCTTTTTTTTTTTTTCAATCATTTTATTAGGGGCTCATTCAACTCTCACCACAATCCATCCATCCATCCATTGTGTAAAGCACCTTTGTACCTACATTGCCGAGACTGTTGTCTGACACAGTAGAAAAGCCTGTCCTGAAGATGGGAGCGTGCAGAATGAAGATGGGAAGCCAGAGGGCATCCCCTTCCCACACTGGCTGGGGGTTAGGCCATTGTCCTTGAAGACCCTGAGGCATACGCATGCTCAGCCACCCCAAGAAGGAAGGAGTCAAACCCAGCCCATTCCATAGGCTTCAGTAGAGCCTTTTAATAAAAACTAGAAGAAATCCTAACACCCTTTACTAGTTCTATGTCCCAGGATGAAGTTCATTTTTCAGCCAGCCAACCTGCAAGTCCAGTGCACAGCTTTTAAGCAAGCTGAGTTTAATGACTTACGAAAAGGGCCTTTTCTAAAAGTTCTTGTTTCAAGCAACCTACCCCTTGATTTGATGTAAACCTTATTTTAAGTCCTAGGAGCCTTGGTGTCATAGCAGTTACATGCTGGGCTACTGACTGCAAGGTCAGCAGTTTGAAACCACCAGCCAGCCACTCCTCAGGAGAACAACCGGGCTTCCTACTCCGATAGTTCCAGTCTGGGGAAACCCACAGGGCAGTTCTGCCTTCTCCGATAGGGTCGCTCTGAGTCAGCATCAACTCAGGTCAGTGATTCAAACTCACCAGCAATTCCATGGAAGAAAGATGAGACTATTTGCTCCCATAAAGATTTATAGCCTCAGAAACCTTATCTATATACCATCTCTATGCATCAGAATCGACTAGATGGTGGTGGGTTTGTTTTTATTTTAAGCACCTATCTCAACACCCATGGAAGCAGCAGTCAAGAAATCAAATGATATATTACATTGGGCACATCTGCTACCAACGTGTTGAAAAGCAAAGATGTCACTTTGAGGACGCAGGTGCATGTGACCCAAGTCATGGCATTTTCGATGGCCTCCTACGTGCTGGGAAAGCAGAACAAGGAATCAGATTGAAGAACTGATACTTTTGAATGACGGTGTTGGTGTGGAAGACTGAATGTACTGTGAGCTGACGGAGCAACAAACAAATCTGTCTCGGAAGAAGTACAGCCAGAAGGTTCCTTACAAGCGTGGATGGTGAGGCTTGGTCTCACATGCTTTGGACATGCTATCAGGAGGGACCAGTCCTTGGAGAAGGACATCACACTTGGTAGAGGGTCTGCAAAAATGAGGAAGTCCCTCAACAAGATGGGTTGATGTAGGGTCTGCAACAATGTGCTGGAATATCGCGATGATGGCAGGGATGGTGCAGGACCGGGCAGTGTTTTGATCTCTTGTAGCTAGGTCACTAGGAGTCGGAACCACTTAACTGCACCTAACGGTAACAACATCTCATGTTAAGAAGTAAAAATAAATGGAATCCTGCATGGACGAGTTCATCTGAGAGTGGCCTCCATGGGTGCGTACTAATCAGATGGGTTGGAGGGACCTGGCAAGCATGTGCTGTGATAGGCGACGGACCTAAAGCCTTGGGGACGGAAACTCAGGACTATATCTAAATCTACTGATGGGATCCATGGATTAGAATGCAGCTCTCTCCCCGCCAAGACTGTTTAGTTAAGGTTCACAACCCAGAAGAGGCTTACCATTCATCACCCTTGTTTTCAGGAGAGAGACCCCGTGTTTACCCATCTTACGAATGGGCATACTTGTCTCAATGGAGACTGGGACTTATGACACTTGAAATGCTAAGGGCAACAAACTTGTATTCTCTCCTTTCCTTTTAGAACAAACACACACAGGAACCCAGAGTGTCTGTCCGGTGAATGCTCTGACCACTGCAACTGCACTGCGCTGAGGTCTAAGCAGAGCTTGGCTAGCCAGGCCCTGGGCCTTTGAGGATTCGTTTCCGGCATCCTTGCCTTTTCCTTTACGTAGCCCTGCCTGGAAGGTAGACTCTTGTTTTATTATTTATTATTATTATTATTATTACTAACTGAGAATCTCCACTCTCCCCAGGCTGTGGGGCCAAAGGATTGACATGGGCATTTAAGGTGACACAAGGGTTTCATCTCACGTAAATGTTCTTCCACCAAAGTCACCCCAAAGGAGAATAAGGTACTTGGGGAAGTTGGGGATAAGTTTTGGGTCAGGAATGGATCCAGGCTTTAACCAGATATATGATGGGAGGCTAGGTACCCAGCACGCCCCAGTGGGGATGCAGCTTAGATGCTGATGAAGAACCTACACCACACCGCAGGATCACCTGCCCAGCCGCAGGTAACTGGGGAACCGGCCAGAGTGGAGAATGACCTGATCTTCCTTTATGTAGCTCTTTTCCCCTCCCCCGCGTTTGAGTGCCAGTGCCCTGGCTGGCTGGGTGCCGGCGCTTTTGAGGCGCCTGGGAGTGGGTCTGTGGGTTTTTGGCCTGCAGACACTGGGACCCACCGAGCCAAGAGGGAGGAGAGATGGAGGCGGGCAAGAGGAGCGGGCGGCTGGCGCCCTGCTGGGGAGCGAGAGGCGCCGAGGCACTCGGCGGTCTCCAGTGGCCGGCGCGCGCCCGGTACCACTCTCGCCACTGCCGTAGCATCCCGACATGACACTGCAGTTGAACAAAGCGGCGGCCGCGCGGAGCCCGGGGCGCGGGTGGCCGCAGCCTGGGTCCCACACCAGGCGGAGGGGCCGGCCGCCAGCGAGTGTGGGCTGGCGGGCCCCCGTGGTGGGCCGAGCAGGGGGTGAGACCCCGAAAAGCGCAGGGAGCCTGGCGGCCACCTCTAGCGCCTCCCCCAGCGCAGCCAGGCTGCCAAAACAAGTCCCCTTCGTTCCCGAACCCCGCAGGGCCCTGCAGAAGCCCCAAATGAGCCCTTACAAGCCCTCGGGGGTGCTGGCTGCTCTTGCACCCCGCAGGAACCCCGCCAGCCCGACTCTGCGCTGCCAGCAGCCCCGGCCCGGGACCCGCCCCGCGCCCAGCGCGCGG